CTCTCTTGGCACTCTCATAAATGTATACATTTATCTTGAAGGCTACTTCTTCTTGTGCCACACAGTTAAATTCTGTATATGTTGATCAGTAAATATCTGTGTGTATTTTGGGGTATTTTTATTGTATTTGGTTGAAAATCCGTACAGCACACAAGTGCACCTTTGGTATTTTAGTGGTTGGAGGCACGTAGCCTGGGGTGAAGCTCGGAGGAATTGATTATCATACATTATCAGTGGGTGTGATAGGGGCTAGTGTCAGTCATCACCAGTCACATCTCATCCCTTATAAACAGTGTACTCCTCACCATGATGTCCTGACAGTTTTGTAAATGAACAGAGTCCAGCCTCCTAAGAGGATACTAATATTCTGGTTCACCACATACTGCTGAGAGAAAGGTGAAAAATTCATTTTTTTTGAGATACTGAAAGGCTGCTCACCATGTTTTCCATCCATCATAAGTGGGTTCAGTTTGAAACGTGTGCAGTTACTGTAAGATATTCTTGTGGAACAGTTATTTAAAAAGACCTATTTCAAGCATTATGTTCAGACCAAAAACTGAAGTTGTAGTTTTATGTTTGAAAGACTAACATTCAACCCTTACTGTGCCGCATTGCCAACTTTGATGCAAAGCGGGTCACCATGATACCAAATAGGTAAAAACACACTTCAGAAAAATAGCTCTGCACCATTGCAAGTCCACATTGTCTTACATGTCAGGTCTCTTTTACGTATCTTTTGCTGGTTGATATAGACTGATCAGCCATAACATTATGACCACCTGGGCACCCTGGTGGTCATAATGTTATCCAGCCCCGTACCAACAAACTGTGATGCACTGTGTGTTCTGACACCTTTCTATCAGAACCAGCATGAACTGTTTCAGCAGTTTGAGCTACAGTAGCTCGTCTGTTGGATCAGACCACACGGGCCAGCCTTCGCTCCCCATGTGCATCAATGAGCCTTGGCCGCCCATGACCCTGTCTCCGTTTCACCTCTTTTCCTTCCTTGGAGCACTTTTGATAGGTACTGACCACTGCAGCCAGGGAACACCCCACAAGAGCTGCAGGTTTGGAGATGCTCTGACCCTGTCGTCTAGCCTCACAATGTGGCCCTTGTCAAAGTCGCTCAAATCCTCACGCTGCCCATTTTTCCTGCTTCTGACACATCAACTTGAGGACAAAATGTTCACCTGCTGCCTAATATATCCCACCCACTGACTGTCAGTGTTGTTCACTTCACCTGTCAGTGCTCATAATGTTATGGCTGATCGGTGTATATGAAAACTATCCATGCTTACATCCAGCTATTCAAGACCTTTCAGGAATGAGGATTCATCAAAAACATTCCTCCCAAAACAGAAAGAAAAACAGAAAAAAACAAATTACATATAGTTTAAATATGTCATTTTATAATGCATCGTCCAATGAATGATTTAGTGCTTTAGTTCAGTGCTCACAGACAGACCTGAGACCATGAGACCAGTCATGGTATTGTTTCAATTATAAAATCAATATGTGGGACTCAGAAGAAAATGCATTGTTGTTATTTGTGTTGTTCCAACATGTGTGGGAGTGATTGTGATAACTGGGAAATTATTGAAATCACATTTCTTATTCTGTTTGTGCAAGACAGAGAACAGAGCAAATAGAATTTTCTGCGATTGTGATGGAGAGCACACTAAACATATTATTTCCTGAAGGGGCAATTAGAAATTAGTTGATAAAACACAGAATTTTTTTTCAAGTGCTAAGTGTCTTTATTTATTTTATTCCAGTATTTGATCACAGACAGTGTAATACAGTGGGAGGGAAGCCGTTTGGTGAGACAGTGAGAAGATGAACATGGTGAAGGTCACTGATTTGGTTCCAAACCTCAGCTTGTGCTGTTGCTTATTGGAATTAAGGAGAACTTTCTAGAAATATTTTTACTTTCAGGTGGTCAATAATGCAAATGTGGTTGTGAGCATGTTTGTGTGTATGTTGCCGGTGTTGCTTGTCATTTTGGTCTCTGAGAATGAGAAAAACAGAAAAAACGGGAAGTACAGACAGACAGACGGATGCAGTGGAATGTGACAGAGTTGGAGGATGGAAAAGAAGAGAGAAAAACCGAGCAAAGGGGCTCAGGGGAAGGCTGAAGGTGTTAATGAGAGAGGGCGAAAGAGACAGATGGAGAGAGAAAACTCTGTGAGAGGAAAAAAGAAATCTATTGACAGGACGAGAGAGAGCTGATTAATGATCATTGATTGTTGACTTCTGAATCCATTTTCACTGCCTCTACTTGTCAATATCTTTGATTTTCTTTATTTTTTCTTTCTTACTGACTTTCTTTCTCAATGTTCCAGCAACTGTAGATGACAACACGTCAATAACAACAGTGTCCTCTGCATGACACCAGAGACAGAACCAGTCAATGGTTCGAGCAGCCGTGTGGATCTCTAAAAGTTACAGTTAGGGCTCAAAACTATTTCAAGCTCCATATGTTTACTTTTTAACTACAAGACTCATTTCACAGAGAGATGGCTTTAAGTCTAGGCAATGTATAATGTAGAATAAGTTGTGCTAAGGATCAACCGAATAGTTGAAAAACAAGCAATGCTCCAAATTCAATTGTTTTGTCATTGTTATTGAAATAGTGATGATTGTTTATTTCTAAGCAACAGTACATAAGATGAATATGTTTGTAGTAACGTTGTGATCGTGGCATTCAAGTTGTTTAGTTGAAACACCATTACTCTGTGGAATCTGATATAAACTCGGGTATCAGATAAACCATCTTGGCTTGTGAATCCCATGAAATGAACTAATGTCTGCTTGTGGTGGGTCGTGGTTGTATCCGTCTTTAGTTTAAAACCAAATTATGACCGAAACTTGCCAGTTTTTCATCAGAAAGAAGCAAAGATTAGAGGAATGTTGGAATCTAATTTTGTACCACGTTTCTTTTAAAGCATTTTATTGCTTCTGCTTTTCTATCCTGTTAATTGTCCCTCAGATTTATCTTGGGCACCTTTGGGCATCCTGACCCCGAAGGCAAACATAAATTGTCTGTATCCAAAGTAGTGTTTCCTTGACACATCTATGAGAACAAGACAAACATACATACATTGACACACACATCACACACTTACACACATTTAGTTGGATGGTTACAGACATGGTCTGTCATGTAATGGCTAGCTATCTAGAATTACTTCCACAGTGATTTATGACCACAGCTTAGAGGCAGAAGGTGACAAGAAGAATGACTGGAAGAAAAAAAGAGGGACAGTTAGATAGGCACAAACGGTGGCAGACAGAGGAGACGGTTTACACACACAGACACACACACACACACACACACACACACACACACACACACACACACACACACAACACACACACACACACAAACACTGAGGCTAGAAGGACTGCTGTAGGAGAAAATTAGTTTTGTTCTCTGGAGGCTCAAAGAGAAAGACAGAGAGAAGAGGAAAGAAGGAAAGAAAGACAAGAAAGAAAGAAAGAAAAACGAGAATTTCCACTGGAAGAGCTGAGGATCATTGTTTTGCTTTAGGCCATGTTGGCAGTAGTTGTGATAGAAGAAGAGAAGATTTGTCATTCATATCCACTTCTCTCTCTTTCCCTTCCTCCCTTTATCTCTCCCTCACACATGCACACACACATGCGCACACACACTGTGCCATCTGTGCTTCCTTGAGGAGCAGTAAACCCAAATTCCCCTCCCAGAATGAAAAATACAACGACATGTCTCCACACTGTATGTGTATTGTGAGGTGGCAATATTCGTGTAGCTGGTGTCTGACGGAGCATGACTGCTGAGCTGCAGCCAAAATACTCCATTTGACCTAGATCATGTCAGAACCCGGCTAGTGTATGTGTGTGTGAGCAAAGTGTTTACGGCTATTTGTCAGCAATATGATGAATTTTGGACATTGCCCATAATGATGTAAGAGCTCCCTCCCACAGTCCTCTGACTCTCTGCTAATCATTCTGTTTGTGCCTCCCTTCAGTGTCTTTCTCCCTGATTTGCTATTTCTGCCTCTCTCTCTTCTTCCCCGTCTTTCTATTTCTCATTCTTTTTGTCCCTTCCTCTGAGGAAACTGGAGCACTCACCAAGTAAATGTCTTCATCTGTGTGTGTGTGTGTGTGTGTGTGTGTGTGTGTGTGTGCTGTGAAATAGGGTTTATTTGTTAGGGTGACATATTGGTGCCCTTGCGCTTCACCTCTCAACCCAAACATTTAATTTCATCCAATAACAGGCATGTCAGCTGTTTACTGCACATATCACTCACACACACACACACACACACACACACACACACACACACACACAGGTGTAGTTGTGTATTATAATTCCAGCTTTATGAAGAAAGCTTAGTGCTCTTAATAGGCTCTAAAGCCTGACCCACTCACCTTTGCTTCTCCACACATTATAATTTGCATGTACTGTACATGCTCAGCTAATCATGCTGATTATTTCACCCACCAGTATAAAATCCTATAGGGTCTGGCACTAGAAAAGGTTCACAAGCCACATGGCTGATTAAACTTTGCCATAAGCAGACAGCACACCAGCGAGATGGTTCCTTCTAGATATTAGAGGTTCTCCTATAGAAACAGGGTCTCTAAAAACAGTAGTGGAGACCAGATAATGTGTAAGAGTTGGCTACTGGGAGGTTCAAGCAGTCCAAACTGTCATTGAGTCAGCCCCTTTATTTCAACCTTCAGTTATAATAGCAGGACCAAAAGTGACAAAGAAAATTTGCCCACACAGTTCTGAAAAGCGTAACATTTTCAATTAAGTTCACTAAATAGCTTTGCAGCATAATCAGCATTGTGTTTGGGAACAATCAAATGGATCCACCACATATTCAGAAGAAACCATGCAAATTTCTTTTGTTTGTGAAACAGTGGAGCAGGTATTTTTATTCTGATAGATACATTGATGGGGTCTTGGAGTTTACCAAACTTTTCTACTTGTCTTTCCTTCTGTTTCTTTGCAGCGATGGATGGGCAGACCGGTATGACGTAACAGATGGCTACGTCAGGGAAGCGGCCGGTGGTATCACCATCAAGCTTCAGTCGGCTGATGTGAAGTGGTTTGACGAGTATTACCTTAAACTTCGCCCAGAAAACAACCAGAGGAACCCCTGGTTTCCAGAATTCTGGCAGCATCGTTTCCACTGTCGACTTAAAGGCCACCCGCAGGAAAACAGCAAATACAACCGCACCTGTAGCAGTGAGTATAGACACAAATAAACACAACAGCACAAACAAAATGGAATATTCTGTAGTTTTATATAATTTTTCATCACAGTAATTATTAGCTACATTTTTTAGATTAATTGTTTGTGAACAACCATCTGGGGTACTGAGAAAGAGAGAAGCTGCATTGTTTTGGGTCAACATAATAGGCTACAGTAGCAATCTGCATTTTTATTGACATGCTTTCATAATGGCCACTATTAATGCAAATAACACCCACAAAACATGCAAACAGACTGACTGAACACACAAACACACCTACGCACATACCATATGGATAATACACACAGCTTTTGTGGTTCATCTGGAGATATCCCTCGTGGCTGTGGGCTCACCCTCCCTTTATTTCTTTGTGTTTGTATCCCTCCATCTTTCTCTTTCTGTTTCATTCTCTCCATTCAAACGCAAAATGGTGTGTGAGAGCTGCATCAAAGGGAGACATGTCTCGTGTATTCTAATGAAATGGGACATGAAATACAAATGAACAGGACACAGAAAGAGGCAGAAAGAAATGAGATGTGGAGGTGGGAAGTGGCTGATGAGAAGAAATGAGAAGGAAGAGAATGGACTTTGATGTCAGGGGGAAAAAGCAGACTGTGTTTCATAAAAGTAGAAGGGAAATTAAGAGTTTCTCTGATATACCTGCCTTTCTCTTTCCATCCTTCCTCACACAACCCGATCCCCACTCCCTCCGTCCTTCCCTTCCTCCCGACTCTACCCACCATCCTCTGCAGAGCGAGAGTCGCTTCGGCAGCAGTATGCACAGGACACTAAGATGGGGTTTGTCATTAATGCCATCTACTCGATGGCATATGGCCTGCATAACATGCAACGGGCACTCTGCCCAGGCTATCAGGTAGGCACTGTACTGATGGATGGATGGGGGGGACATACTAGGGCAAACCAAGGAGATGAAGCAAGGGGATGAAAGGGTGGAGAGTGAGAAAATGCACCATGTTTGCTGGTGTTTTGATTGGTAAAAGTTTATCTTTATATATTATGTTAGTAGCACAGTACAGTAGTCATTCTCTGAGTATACTTCACTGTAATTAAGCAGCATGTTTATACAGTTTATATCACATTGCTTTTTTATCAACATGAATGGCCATTGACCACCATTTCCAAAGTGGCTTGAGCACACGCAAAGACATGAAATGTTACTTAAGCTGTGGAAATTTTTGCTGTATTTGACCTAATATGAAAAATTTATGAATTTAAGGGCCTATGTGATGCCATGCGACCTATAGATGGCTCTACACTCCTGGACTTCCTGATGAAAACTAACTTCACAGGCGTGTCAGGGGAGGGAATCTTATTTGATGAGAATGGAGACTCACCTGGCAGGTACGCACTGTAGCTGAACAAATCTTTTTTGTGTGGCCTTTTGAGTTGCAGGGTTATGTGACATGACTGTTTACATTAATGTATTTGATGTACTCCTTTTATCCACAGGTATGAAATAATGAACTTCAAAAAGATGGGGAAGGACTACTATGACTACATTAATGTTGGCAGTTGGGACAACAGAGGTTTGAAGATAGATGATGATGAAATTTGGCCCAACAAAGACTCCATAATCAAGTCAGTCTGCAGTGAACCCTGTGACAAAGGACAGATTAAGGTGAGATGACTAATACAGATAACATTTTTCAAGTATGTTCATTTCACATAAAATACAGAATAAAGTCAAGTTTACATGCTGTAAGAAATCATTACAGGCAATATTGTGAATCCAACATCCTTCCATGGAGTGTTTACTGTACATGACAAATCTTCATATATGGAAAAGATTATACACAATTTCTGCTACCTCTTTTAACTAATTAAAAAGACATACATTGGCCTTCTGATTATTAGTGGAATAAAATACATCACATAATACAGTGCAGGCTGGTACACATGAGCTGGCGTTTACAGCACCTTACTGCAAGGCTTCACAACACAAAGGTAAAGGTACACACAGACATTGTGCATTCTGTCCCTGCCAGGTGATCCGTAAAGGTGAGGTGAGCTGCTGTTGGACGTGCACTCCCTGTAAAGAAAACGAGTTTGTGTTCGATGAGTACACCTGTCGAGCCTGTGAACTGGGCTCCTGGCCTACTGATGACCTCACAGGTCAGTCTCTTTCTGTTTGTGTCTGCATGTTTATTTATAACATTTAAGTGCAATCTGCCAAGAAAATACTTGAATAGAAACTACAGTTTTTGGCCATGCCCCTGCGTAGAAATCCTGTAATATCAAAGCAGCAGTAGTGATGCTACTCGAAGGAAACAGTGCAATGATATGAGTGTGTGCATGTAAGCGAGTAGGGTCATAATAAAGGAGGTGTAGTAGAATGAGATACTTGTGTTTTCCCTGACACAGTGTGCAATTAGAGCATATGATTATACATAAATCCTGCACCAGATACATTAGGGAGAGAAACTGAGAGACGAACCCTCTGTTTCACCCTCCCCTCCTCTTTTGCTTTCCTTCCCTCCCCTCCACTCCCTCTCCCTTATCCCTTTAATTTGTTACCAACATGGTCACCCATGTTTTAATTATTCTGCATCAAGAGCAGCTTTCAATGCAAATACATTTCAGTTGCAATGAAAATGTATTTCCCCTCCATTGCGTTCGAAGCGGTTGGATATTGCCTTGTTATGCTTTCAGCTGCTCATTATACTGCGTGCTAGCTCCTCACCAAGCTCAATGATTAAAACATGAATCGAGCCCTGCTGAAAATTCAGATTGAGCTTCACTGCCAGACACAGAAGCATCCTTAAACTAAAACAGGGAGCAAACCAGTGAGAAATAGAAAGAGAAAGTTGACAGAGAAAAAGAGGCAGATAAAGAATTGAAAGCCTGATTGGGGTTACCCATGTATTACTTTGTGTTGTTCATGTGTGTGATTACGTGTATGTGACTCATTTCATCAACAATAAGTGCTGCGTGTCCCCCAGCGGGGCTATATGGAACAGTAATAATGAGGTGTAAACAAACTGCTTGCCCTGTTCCTCCAGCAGACATTTTGATCTCTCTCCCTCAGGCCAAAAAAAGGAGAGAAAGAGAGGGAGAGATAAAGAGAGGGAGAGCTAAAGAGGCGGAGGGAACAGAAGATGGAACAAGGTCTCAGTTGGCAAAGACATAGGTACAGTGGGTGTGAATACCATAGAAAGCAATAGGAGAGTTTTTGGAACAGCAATAGAGCAAAAACAGGAAAAAGAGAGTGAGAGAAAAGTGACTTTGAAACATAAAGAGGAAGAAAAAGTGAAAGAGAGAGGGAGAGAGAGATGGAGATGAATAGAGGCTCTGACAGAAGCAGCAGCCAGGGAGAGTGAAAGGAGCAGAAAAAGCGAGGATTAGCTTTGGGATTTGAGCCTCTCCACTGATCGGTAAAGTTCCACAGACTGAGTCTGAGAAGGAGTTTGCCTCAAAACTTTATATTGACTGAACCCCCCCCCTCTTAATGTACCAGTTTGGCTTAGGGTCACACACAACACAATTTCCTGCAGGTTCCGTGAACTAATTAAGTATTTAAATGCAGACAGCCGATGCTTTTCGGCTGCTCTGAGAAAACCCATGAGAAATACACTGATCTGGTATTTTCGGGCCAAACATCTTGATGTATGTGGGCAGGATTAATTGGAGCTAAATTCTCAGCAAGTTCCTTAGTTTCCTCCCACTTTACATGATGGGTGGGTGGTCCTCACCCCTCACGGAGAGGCGAGGCAACAGCTACTGTAGTCTTTGTGTCTTCAAAAGGGGCTAAGCTAAAGTAGTAAAACAGCACTATCTCATGATGTTGAAAACATACATACATTTGAATACAAGTAATGGAGAGTTTCAGACCTGTGATTTTCTATCACTATTTTAGATTATGATTTACACTGGATTTATCAAATTTTAATGCAATGCAATGGCAGTGATACAAGCCTGTAAGTGGGCCACATCTTTTGCAGAGTGCTTCTGCCTGACTTAGTTTCTGTCTGTTTGTTACCGTCCCCTTAGCTCCTCTTCAGCAATTAGGCTGCTGTTTATGCCCCTAGACCTAACCACATCACTGATTTGATAAACTTTATTGACCGTGTTAAAGACAAAGTCATTAAATTACTTAAGTCTTTTTTAATGACTGTTCCGTCTCTTCTGTTCCCCCTGCGATTTGCACTACTGTACAGGTGTGTGCGTATGTGTGTCTGTATGTGTGTGTGTGGTTGTGTGTCTGTAAGAGAGAGAAACAGTAAGGGAGGATAGAAGGAAAGAGAGAAAGTGAAGCTATATAGGGACAAGAAGTTTTAGAAAGAGTCTACGTGTGTCTCTGCTGCTACAGTATGTCTAGACCAACCAGCCGGATAATTTCAGCAAGCGTTAAGACGGTTCGTAATTAGAACTGTCCCTTTAATTAATGACACTTTATCTCCTTGCCTAGGAGGAAGACAGAGATGGAGGGAGGAAGAGAGGGAGAGCATTAGGGAAAAAGGTGGAAGGGATAAAGATGCAGAGAGACGGGGGAGATATTGGGGAAAAGAGAGGGAGTGATGGATGGGCAGGGCAGGAAACAGATGCAAAGATTGATGACAGGGGACTGAGAAGAAGGGATAAAATAGAGACACAGATGGAGGGATAAGAAAGAAAACATAGACAACAGAGTGGTATGTATTGCTTGGTCAAAGATGTGCAGTCTGAAGTAAGTGATGAGATAGTGAAGAAAGAGAGATGTAAAAGTGTCTTTTCTAACACTCATGCTATACTGTTTAGTTACTGGGCTTCACACACATCCAATAAAAGACCTTGATTGATTTTGTATGAAGAAATGCATGTCCACATACTTATATCCCCAGGCTGTGACTCAATCCCAGTGGAGTACCTGCGGTGGGGAGACCCTGAACCCATTGCGGCTGTGGTCTTTGCCTGCCTTGGTCAAATGGCCACATTCTTTGTCACTGCAGTCTTTATCAGGTAATCAAATCTCTCATTTGTCTATAGCAGGGGTCAGCAACCTTTACTATTGAAAAAGAAATGGCCCAAAACAAAAGGAATCAAAAACCATATTTGATCTTGATAATGCTGATTTCAAGCATACCGGTAAGCCAGCAGTGGTGGTGTTTTTCCTCTGAGACTTTTCTTTTTTGTATTTGTAATCCATAGCTAGCCTAGCTAGGGAGACTCAATGCTGCTAGCACTACTATACTGAGGATCAGCAAGATGTAGGGGAAAAGACTCCAGGTCAGGATGTAACGTATGACCCACATTGTAGTTGGCAAAATCTTTTTTTTTTTTCTTTTTCTGTGTGTGGCTACACATTTTTACAAATGGAGAATGTAAGGATCACTTTGAGCCTACAACTTAAATAAATGGAAAAAAATAGCCGTTATTCATTTCCACCTGACTTTTGTCAAAGCCACAGGGTGCCAATGTACTAAAGGATCTGCAGGTTGCCTACCCCTGGGCTTGTATGCAAGCCACGCTAGACTAGACATAAACACACACCATACATACCAACTTTGCACATTTCTGCTCTTTTCTTAATGACGTTTTTCATGAGTGTGTGTTTAAAATCTTGTATTTACACTGTATGTCTGTCTGAATACGTCTGTGTTCAAGGTTCCGGGACACCCCAGTAGTGAAATCTTCCAGTAGGGAGCTCTGCTACATAATACTGGCAGGGATCTGCCTGGGGTACCTGTGTACCTTCAGCCTCATAGCCAAACCCCATGTTGTCCACTGCTACATCCAACGACTGGGAATAGGCCTGTCGCCTGCCATGAGCTACTCTGCGCTCGTCACGAAGGTGAGGACTGAGTTAAGGATTTGTGAAATAAGTATGAAATATATGGTGCAGCAAGTGGACTTACCTCCAAAGTCCCAGAAAACCCCTGTTGTTAGATGTATGCCAACCTGCCTTGATCATCAATGCTTCAGATGCAGGAGAAGCAGCAGCAGTAGTACATCTGCAGGTTGAAGCAGAATTCTTTTTCAGTCAAAGTATTTCTCACAAATATGTCTGTACAAAAACAGTGGCAGCGATGTAGAAATACAGAAAGCAGATGGCCAGAATGTAGATACAGTATGTTCAATATATAGTACATTAAAAGTTGCTGATGGTGTTTACGGTCTGACCCCAGACGAACCGAATCGCTCGGATCCTGGCAGGAAGCAAGAAGAAGATCTGTACAAAGAAACCTCGCTTCATGTCAGCCTGCGCTCAGCTCATCATTGCCTTCCTCCTTATACTGCTGCAGCTGGGCATCATCGTGGCTCTCTTCCTCATGGAACCGCCTGAGGTAAACTGTGTGTGTGTCACTTACTGTGTCTGTTTGTCATTGTGAGTGGGAGAGTGGCTCGGTGAAAGATGGACTCAAGAACTGGTTGACAGACAAATTAACAGAGAGAGAGAGAGAGAGAGAGAGAGAGAGAGAGAGAGAGAGAGAGAATTAGTTAACTAGAAAAAAGTTGAAGCATAATCAGGGCTTTAGTCTCCAAGATTCTGTTTCTACACTTTTTGTTTGTGCTATTTATACTTCTGTGTTTCTTTTCTTGCTTAGTTTAGCAGTGCAAACTGTTGTAGGCACAGGTGGAACTACATTTTGGCTGGTCGTTTTCTGTCATTCTTGTGCAACAAGCTCAATAGCTTTTGCTTTTTTACAGGCCTGTGACTGCTACAGATACAGGATGTGTTTTTCTTTGATTTATTGATGCTTCTGAAATACATTACCTACCCTTTAATGTTACTGTTGTTACATATTTGCAAACATCTTTCCCAGTTTTGTGGAAGAAAAAAATGTATCCTGGTAGCAACAACTTCTTTGAGCTTTTTATCACTGCCATGTTTCCTCCTCTGTCTTTACAGGTGATCCATGACTACCCCAGCATCCGCCAGGTCAACCTCATTTGCAACACCACTAACCTGGCTGTGGTTGCCCCGCTGGGATACAATGGCCTGCTTATCCTCAGCTGCACCTTCTATGCCTTCAAGGTATCAACTGAAGCATTTGTAACTATTCCACATTACAACCTAGAAATCAAAAGGCTTGTGATGATTTTTTTCTGTGACACAATTCTGAATATGATTTATTGACAATATCACCATTGAAGTAACAAAATGGTCAATTAGTGGGTGCTTAAAATCCAAACAACACATGTTGTTGAAGCTATAGGTTCTTATGTGTGGGGTACATGTGTACTCATATTACACATGTCCAATTAGTAGTATGTAGAGTACATGGCTTATTTCAAGTTGCTATATGTGAGAAAAGTCA